TACCGAATTTGCGAATTTGATCGGCTGAAATCGATGTTGAAAGCGGTCTAGATTTTCCCATCTAGATCAGTATCTAGACCGATAAGGTTTTGCAGTGAAAAAGTTGGAAACTAAAATGAAAAAATGTTGATTATTTTCTTCTAACCATATTATTTGTAGAAGTGCTAAAAAGCCTGATCAGAAAAGAAAAGTAAAGAGGCCAAGTAGACTTTGGCAGAATTAAGTTCAGCTCATTGCCATTTGCAAGCAAAATGTCGGCTAGTGCAAACCAGTTACATTAAACAAATTAATTTGTTCTGTTTGCGCTGTATAATAAACATCTTATTAACCGAACTTAGTTGGTCTGTGTAGGTAAAAGAGCCAGCAAAAAAGGGCTGGTTTGCGCAGCTATTTTTCTCCCGCGTCACCCTCGATGGACTAAGAAAAAGCACGACTACTCATAGTTTAAGCTACTGTCAAAGTCAATAATGAAACTAGTTTTTATGTTACTTACCTCCTCTTGCTGTTACCTGCTATATCAGGTGATGATGATGAGAAGCCACCAGTTCTTAAATTCAGTGACACAGATGATGAGATGGCTAACAAAGGGTCAAACAACTCATCGTCACCAGTATACAAATGGTTCCAGGATAGTGAAACTGTGACAGTCAGCTTTGAAATTCCAGAGGGCACAAACAGAGACAAAATAACCTGTAAGATACAAGCAGACTCCCTTGACCTTCAAGTTGGGAAAGAGGTCATGTTAAGTGGTCCTCTGTTTGCAAAAGTGAACTCAGAGGAAAGTACATGGACGCTTGATAAAAACAGGTAACAACCTTGGTTTCTTTCCAGATTCTTCACCACCATCTTGGAATTATGATCCAGTGTAACTTTTCCTACTCTGGCGCTAAATTGTTGTTTTTTTTTGGAGTAAATGGTAAATGACCAATCCAAACAGAACTTACCATCAGGCATTTTTGCTTACCATTTGCACAAACCATTAATGAACTGGTTCTTCTGTGTTAATGGTAAACAACTGTGTTTGTTTGTCTTTAGTTTGGAACTGGTTCTTGTGAAGCAGGTTCATGA